GGGGGCAGGGGCGGTGGCCGGGGGCAGGTGGCTGCGTGGGGCCTTGTTTGCGATCGCTGGGGTCAATGCCCAGGAGTGGGATTCTGGGCCACGGCGGAGCTCTGGGCGTTGTCTCTAGAAGACTCTCCACAGTGCTTCCCAGAGCGCTTGGAGCCGTTCACACTCCCACCCACCGGGTGCTAAGGCTTCCTTTTGGACACATCCCCACCAGCATCTGATACTATTATTTGTTGATAATGTCCAGGGAAGTATTGGTTCTTGAGCATTTTTCCACATGTGTTGTGTGATTTTTTTTTTAATCTTTGCCAGTCCTGGGGCTTGAACTCACGGCCTAGGCTGAACCTCACTGTCCCTGAGCTGCTTTGGCTCCAGGCTAGCACTCTACCACTCTGAACCACAGCTCCACTTCTGTGTGTGTGTGTCTGTGTGTGTGTGTGTGTGTGTGTGTGTGTGTGTGTAATTGGAAGTGGAACCCCGATTCTTTTAGCCTCACCATTGTTCACTAAGGAAATTACAAGCCGGCAGTGGAATTGCATGCCTCTCACAATGGCTTGGCCCTTAGCCTTGAACTACGTTCCTCTCCTTACCGGATCTTTCTCTCTCTGTCCGAGCAGCTACATTAATGTAAAGATACTGAAGATGCGATGTGTGTGGCGACCCACTATTTCCAACACTGTTGTAGGGAAAAATCCAGTTTTCTTCTGGAGAAATAACATGTGGATAATTTTAGAGAATCTTACAGAACAAGTAAGAGGTACGATTTCTGATGGGATAATACGTCAGCCTGGGATTTTTAATCCTCAGGTTGGCCTTTCTTTGGTTTTAAGCAGATGTTTTAGGAGCGTGGAGAACTGGAAGGAAAGGCGGATGGGACTTCTCTGTCTCTGGTGTCAGCTGAAGAGAGTGAGGTTAGCTCTGTGCTTCCACTTGTAGTACTGTCCAAACCTATGAGGCATTTGCTTAGCTTCGTTCTGAGAGCCTGAAGCCCAACCTGGCAGCCCACGATCACATCTTAATGGTCTCCCACTGGCAATGCCAACATTGTCTATAGACAGCTGGCGCCATTTAACCCCACAAAAACCATGACTGCCACCCAAACCAAAGTACCCCGCGTTCTTCCTTCAGTAACTGGGCCTGGAAGTGAACCTGGAGCCTCAGCCCTAGAAGAATCTTCGCTGCACCTCATTCTTCATGCCGTGTCTGCTCTCGTTTTACACTTGCCTTTCACTGTGTTATGGTCACAATTTCCTTGCAGTATAATATTCGTATAATATTCTGCAATAGACCTGTTGGTCTATGTATAGATAGCAATAGATAGATAGAGATAGATAGATTAACTATGTAGGTCATATGTATAATATTTACTATGTCTACTATTATATGTTATATAATATATAACTATAAATTATATATTTATATGTAATATATAATATTATGTATCCAATCTAAAATATCTAATATATCTAATAATATCTATATCTATATATCTAATATAGATATGTATTTAAAATATATACTAGTATATAATCACATATACAATATACATATATAATTGTATTATAAAAATATAATATAAAAATTTTGCTATAATTATATTTATATATATTTATATTATATTTATAGATATTTATTATTATTATATGTAATATAATACATAGCATCATATAATATAATATATAATATGTGATATGTAATATATACCATTATAATTATACATTATGATATAAATATGTTATATTATAATAATATGTATAATTATAATTATACATGTATATTGTATATAATAAATATTAGATATATTATATATTACATATAACATTTATCTATATCTATAGTATAATAGATAAAAATACTATACTGTAGTATTATTTATACTATAGTATATATAGTATATAATATACTATAGTATATTATATTATTATTTATACTATTATACTATAGCAATAGATAAGAATCTGTAGCTATAGTATATATATTAATTATATATATAATATATAAGAATCTATATATTATTTATACTATTATACTATAGCTATAGATTCTTATCTATAGCTATAGTATAATAGTATAAATAATAATATAATATATCAATTTCTATCTATATAACATACATTAGATATATTAGATATGTGTCTATATATAATTTATAATATATTAATATGTGTATCTAATACCTAATATAATACATTAGCTATGTCTAGTACATATCGATCCATCCATGTTGGTGAAAACGGCACCCAGCGTCTGGCAGCTCCTCCTCCACCCAGGCTCCACGTCACACGTTCCATGGGATAAACCATCACTCGAGTTAGCAGCGCAATTTAGGAAGGCTTTAGTTTTGTGATAAAATTGAAAAATAGGTCGCAGGTTACCATTCAAAGCAGTTTGTCTCTTTGGAAGTTTTATTTCTCAGTGTAAAAACTTCTATGGCCTTTCGCCCAGATTCACAGTAGATCGTAAAAACAACAACGAACGTGTACAGACATACGCAAGCGGGCGCCACGGGAAATCCACGCGCCCGGGTCCGCGGGACCGCAGAGCTGGAGCCACGGGCCTCGCGGTTTACCTGGTGCACACAGGAGGAATGTCAAGAAAAGAAGAGAGAAGCATCCTGTCCTTGTGTTAGAAAGTTGGGTCAATGTGAAATCCTCAGATGGTCTGGGGTGGGGAGGATGTCGCTGCTTGGCTACCATACTCCTACTCTTTGCTGCTTGTCTCCCGTGTGTTCAAAAAACATGAAATCCTAGAGAAAGACAAACATGGCCGCAGTGAATTCTCAGTAACAAAGGAAGACACGCAAGGCCTGGATCAGTGTGAGCTCTCTACACTCTGGCCCTGGCTCCTCACTCTCTGCTTCCTCTAGCATGAACTATCTTGCTGCTTCTTCCTGTGAGGAAGCCCCATGAATTGCATTTCCTCTGTGTCTAGCATTGTCCTTTGTCCCTCGTTTTCTGATCACTTGTGACCAAGGGCCGTGTGGTTCCCCCTCCCCCCTCCCCCTCCCCCCTCCTCCCCCAGAATGATCTATTGAACATTTTGATTGATTTACAATGCCTCATATGAAGCCATGTAATGAGCTACAGGGTGGGTTTTGTTTTTTGTTTTTTGTTTTAGTGTCCTAAACTTTGGGTGAAGACCAAAAGCTTCCCACGTTTTCCCTTAGCACTGGTTTGGTATTTTTAATGATTAAAAAAAAGTTCCAAGACAAAGACCTCTGCATGGTACCTCAAGCCCACATTCTGTTTCCTGGAAGAGATGAAATTCTCCAGGGAGAAACTTATCAACTGTCTACCCGGAGTGCCGGGGTCGAGTGGGTTCCACAGCTAGGCAATCCTTGCTTAGAACTTATTCATTTTTTTAAAGAATACACAATTTTCAGATTTCATCTAAGAATGATGCTAGAGAGACCATTTATGACCCAGAAGAGCAGGAACAGACTTTCAGTGTAATAGCACTGAGAACAGACAATGAGGGATCCAGAACAGAGATCTAGAACAGACCTAAAACAAAGCAGAAGTCTAAAACAGACTTAAGAAATAGGGATCTAGAATAAGGCTGGGGTGTCCATAGTTTGGGCCTCTAATCCTAGCTACTCAGGAAGCTGGGACCTGAGGATCATAGATCAAAGCCAGCCCGGGCAGGAACATCTGTGAGACTCGTATCTCCAATAAAGTACCCAGAAAAAGATGGAGTGGTGCAGTGGCTCAAGTGGTAGAGCCTTGAGAAAAAGAGTCTCAGGGTCAGCGTCCAGGCCCAGAGTTCAAGCCTCAGGACCAGCACAAAAGATAATGGGAATTGTAGTCTTTAGAGGAGGAACAGTAATCTAGAACAGACAACAAGAAAGAGGCATCTAGAACAGATGTACAACAATGAATGGGATTCTAAAACAATGCAGAAACACGGATCCAGAACAGATTTATGATAAACAAGAATCTAGAGCAGATTTGTGATGAGGAAATAGGAATCTAGAAGACATATATAAGGAATCAGGGATCAAGAACAGATCTTAAACAAGGACATAGGAATCTAGAAGAGATATATAAAGAACCAGGAATCTAGAACAGAATCTAGAAGAGACTAAGAGGAAGCAGGGATCTAGAGCGGATCTACAACGAGGGAATGGGAATCTAGAAGAGACTCACGATGAGGAAGCAGGCACCCAGCATCACAGCCTTCATCTTCACATCAAGGTCTAAGGGGAACTGAATCCCGAAATTGTCAGCATCCGTAAACGCCTCTCTCACGAACCCCGACCAGTGCTTGGAGATCTTGCCAACCATAACTTCTTCGTCAAGAGATTTAATCTACAGTGAAGAAAACAAGGTCTCAGAGATGGCTGGAGACTCTATGGAAAAGCCGCCTTCAGACTTGCAGTATGATAAAACAAATACCGTATCATCATTATTTCTATATGAAGATCTACAATTCATAGATACGTATATGTTTTCTATATCTGTGCACAGATACAGGGAATAAACAAAGCACAGATCCATGGTGGGCAACGTATAGTTCTGAAATATCTTGCGTTTTCCATGATGTACTGAGACAGGGAGTTATTTGACTGGATCCCAGACTTTCACCAAACTGGATGCAAATGTGAATCTCTCTCCAGTGAAATGTTTGCAAGTCATTAGAAAAATAACAAATGAACCTGGAGTAGAGTTCTTCTTTGAGAAGGTCGCGGTGTAGGCTGCTCCTGTGTTCTTTCTTTGTGGAGGGGGTCGGGGGGCATGGAAAATGCAGGGAAGGAAGGAGAATCGGGCATGAACCCCATTAAAGCTTTTTAATGTTTATTGGGCTTCCAGTGGGAGCTGAATTTCTATACGGGGCGTGGAGGTTACAGGCACCCAAAGCACCAGATTTAGACGACCCGGTGAAAGTTGTGTTTTAATAAGACACCATGCCGGGGAACCAGGGGGACATGTTCATGCTGTGTCTTTGCATGTTTTTGTCTAGCACTGCTGCTGCTCATTAACATTAACCTTATTTCTTATTATACTTACACCACGCATCATTATTCTAGAATATCATCTATCATGCATTATTGATTATTCTATTTATTATTGATTATTCTATTTATTATTCGATTCTAATATTCTATAGATACCATATTCTATGGTATCTATTAGTTGTATATAGTATATCATCCTATAAAATGAATAATGAAGTAATAAGTACTAAAATGATAAAATACTCGTTTCAGATGATTCTGTTATTACTTGTTGCTTTCGCTTAGGACTTACTGATTCTTGAATACTGCTTTTTCTTTTTTCCTACTTTTTTCTAGCTGACACCGTGTTACATAGTGACGCTCACCGCGCAGGAAGTTAGGAACGTGAGCACACTCGCGCTGTGAGGTCTCTGTGCCCCTAACACACTTGCAGGGCACACCCCTCTCCCACACTCAGGAGTCCGGGCCGGGCACCGCCTCCTCCCCACCCTCCCCCTCCCCCTCCCCCTCCCCTTCCCCCAGTTCCTCACCTCGAAGTCGATGTCTGAGCAGCAGCTACACACCACGCAGGGCCCCACGATTTTCAGGACGTCTTCCTTCCTCTCGTTCTGAACGGTGAATTTGGGCAGGCAGGGGTGCCAGGCCTGAGCCACGTAGCCGATGGGCACGCCGGGAGGGGCTTGGATCTCGATCTACACGAGCAAACAAAGGAAAGCAAGGACTCAGCACGTGGAATGGTCACCCCCCCCCATGAGTAGGCTGGGGGTCGGCCGGGCCTGCGCCCCGGCCTTCACAGAGGGGGGAATGGTCACACCCCCCCCATGAGTAGGCTGGGGGTCGGCCGGGCCTGCGCCCCGGCCTTCACAGAGGGGCTCATCCACCTCCTGCAGGCAGCAGGGGCAGCAGCAGCTGCTGCATCGCAGGGGTCTCTCCAGGGTGATGACCTCCCGGCCCGTGTGATCCAGGATCCTCAGGGTGAAGGGCCGGGCGGCCCCACAACAGTTGCGGGTGCAGAAGTCGGTGTCCTCGGCGGCCACGTAGACTCTCTGCCCGAGACTGTTCTTGATTTCGTATTTGTTGTTGGTTTCAAAGCCCGTGATGACTGGGGAAGGGAAGAGGAGAGAGAGATCGCAGAGCACCGTGAGTCCCTGAACCCAGGCCTGAACCGTAGCTCTGCCATCCACTCGGGACCGTCCAAGCCGTACACCCATGGGGTGAGGGGGAGGAAAGGTGTTTCACAGGCGATCTAGAGTAAGAGGATCTCAGTTCAAAGCCAGCCCGGGCAGGAAAGTCTCTGAGACTCTGATCTCCAATAAACCACTAGAAAATCAGAAGTGGTGCTGTGGTTCAAGTGGTAGAGCACTCGCCTTGAGCTGAAGAGCTGAGGGACAGCGCCCAGGCCCAGAGTTCAGGCCCCATAACCAACAAAAAACAAACACACAAAATACACACACACACACACACACACTCACACACACTAAACCAAACTAAAAACCACCCACTTTGCAAGCACAGGTTTCGTGCACTGGGGGTGGAGGGATGGATGTCTGCTAAGTTCATTCTCTGTGAAACACTATTCAATCAATTCGCTTGAGATTTTGTTTGATAAGATGCATATCTCTATCTATCTATCTATCTATCTATCTATCTATCTATCTATCTATATCATATCTGGAGATCTGAATTTTATAGCATATCACATACCAAAGAATATTTTCAAAATTCCAGGAAAACATACAGCCAACCACCAACAGCTGCCCTTTGGAGAAATTCTAGTTTACAGAAACGGAACAAAACCATAAACATGCCGGCTATCTAAGGATTTACATTGTAAATAGTTTAAAGCCTATCTAGGGACAATTCAATTTATCCCCCTCACCCCCAAAATCTATTACTCTTCTTGTACAGTTCACATTCTAACTTCCTTTTAAAATATTTTATGTTTGCTGGCTGCTGGTGGCTCACATCTGACATTTCAGCTGTTCGGGAGGTTGAGGTCTGAGGATCATGGTTCAAAACCAGCCTGGGCAGGAAAGCCACAGAGATGCTAAGCTCTTATGAACCAGCAAACATCTGGAAGGGGAGCTGTGGCTCACGTGGTAGAGCATCAGTCTTGAGTGGAAAAAAAAAAAGCTCAGCAACATCACCCAGGCCTTGAGTCCAAGCCCCAGGACTCTCACACACACACACACACACACACTTTACATTCTAGCTTCTACCTCTGCAAAGAAACTTGGCAGAGAGGTGAAGATGTTTGTCACACACATACTGCACAAGGCAGCAGGGTTTTCCTGACATGCTCAGATCCACAGGCCCAGGTGACATTTACGGATCTTCCCAGGCCCTCCTTTCCCTGGCTGCCATCCTGAAGCACCCAGGGGCTTCTTAACTTTAATTCTGCACCCGTGGGCAGTGCCCCTAACTGCCTGTGGCACAGGCCCTCTCTGAGGAAGCAGATCCCCCCCGTCTACCCCCCCCCAGGGCTGCTGGTATGAGCTGGGACACAGAAGGGTCCTGTGTCCTCTAAGGTCTGTGGGACCCAGGGGTTATCCAGCTCATCTGAGTGTGAGTGTGTGTGAGTGTGTGTGTGTGTGTGTGTGTGCTATTCTCCTCCTATGTCAGTGAACACAGGAGGCCCAGCATGTCCCCCCCCCCCCTCTGCCTCCGCTTTGACCATTTCAGAGGTGTAGTGAGATCATTTGATGGCTGGCGTTCAGAGGCCAATGGCCGGTCAGGCTGGGATTCCATTCATTCGTGGGGGCAGGGATGTAAATTCATGGGTGGAAATTCCCCACATCGGGGAGCTCAGAGCGCAGTTGCTACGGTACCGCGTTACCTGCGTAAACCTCTGTCCTGCCCAGACACAAGCAGCACGTACCTTCCAGAAGCTCGATTTGCTGGTGCACCAGAATCTGATCGATCTGTTCATGGAAAAAGAAAAAAGAAAACGGAGAGCGTGTGAATCAGTGCTCTGGACTCCATGTTGTCAGCAGTTGAAGGTGGAGATGACTTGCTTGTTTGTTTACTGCAAAGGCAAATTAATAGTTCAAAGTGATTTTTTTTAAGTGTTTGTTGAATGACTTACGTTGGGGGAATTTAGGCCGGGTAAAGTTAACTGACACCGAATTCTCAGAACCAGAAAACAGGATGCTTCCTAGAGGAGGCTCAAGGGATATTGGTAACATTTAAGCGCTATCTAAAGAGCTTTTATCCTACCATGAAAAGGGAAACTCGCATCGCAGTGCCCCGAACTATCCTGAGAGGTGAGGGGTGATCGTTTTTCTGTGTTTTGTGACATCCTGAGTTAAGAACTGTCTGTTTTATAATATCTCCTGGGGAACGGACTGACTGCTGCAGACCTCCCTGGGAAAATGTAGGGTAGAGAGTAGCGGGGGGCACACGACTCGAGACCATTTCAGATTGAAAATGACCTTTCTTATAGAAGAAAGGATGGAACCTCAACACACAGTCCTTCGTCCTCTTCATCCGAAGATGGGATTTCTCATCCCAAAGCAACGCTGGCCCTCATACTGCTGAAATTCACCGTTAGGTAATACTTAAGGTCCTCCTCTCTTCCCCCACCCCTGGACTAAGGACTCCAAATTAGGGGGTTCTTCTGTGAATACTGGGCACGTGGGGTCTTACCTGGCTCAAGTATTCCAATCCTGGTGGGCAGTGGAGTGGGGGCTGGGGTGCTGCCATCCAGGGTACACCTGCCAGCCCCCCGGGCGCGCCATACCCGGGCTGGCCTTGGATAGGGAAGGCTGCGGGGCCGGCGCCTGTGTAGCCTGGCTGTGGGGCTGGATAACCTGCTTGGGGGACCGGGTAGTCAGCCGGTGGGACCGGGTAGCCCGCGGGTGGGACCGGGTAGCCCGCGGGTGGGACCGGGAAAGAGTCCTGGGGCCCTTGGTAGCCAGGATGTCCTGAAATTGGAGCAGGGAGAAGTGTTTGTGAGCACTGGGGGAGACAGGAGGGCTTCTCAGCACGGCCTCGGTGGTTGGGCGCAGTGTCCACAAGGCAGGTGGACAGACAGACCGCACGGCCCTTCCTGTCCAAGCTCGGAGGAGAAGATGAGGCCGTCAGCCCCGGGGATGGGAAAGAAGCGCGTGAAAGAAACGATAAATAACCCAGAGTCCCCCACATCCTGGGCCCCATCTCCCCAAAGCCTTCAAGGAATGGGGAACATTGGGTGGGAAACCCCACACCCAAGCTCCCAGGGCGGGCGCAGCCTGAATCGTTTGGTGATTCTACCCCAACCTGAGGCCCGTTTCAGAAGGACCAGAGATGCGTGGGAAATCAGCACAGGCATCGCGGAAGGGAAACGAGAATTATTTCAGAGTCACTCCGTTTGCCATGCTTTAAGCATTTATCTTATTGAACGCTCACTGTCCAGTAGACATGGCCAGGACTCATTAACAAAAACATCACCCCAGGATAAATGTCACTACAGGAACACAACTTTGAGAACAGATACAGAAGCGACAAAAACATTTGCCTTAGTATCTGTGTTTTGGGGTCTGCATGTATTGTGGGGTTCTCCGTGAAATCTTGTATCACACAGCTCTATGTAAATGTGGCTTGAACTCTGGGCCTGGGCGCTGTCCCTCAGCCCTTCAGCTCAAGGCCAGCACTCTACCACTTGAGCTACAGTGCCACTTCTGGTTTTCTGGTGGTTTATTGGAGATAGGAGTCTCACGGTCTCTCCTGCCCGGGCTGGCTTTGAACCACGGCCCTCAGATCTCAGCCTCCTGAGTAGCTAGGATGACAGTCATGAGCCACTGGCACCTAGCTGTAAACGTGAATTTTATTAGTTTTTTGTTAGCCATTTCTATGGGAAATAAGTATACCAAAAGAAAAATCAAGGGGCTGGGAAGGTGGCTCAGTGGTAGAGTGCTTGCCTTGCATGCATGAGGCCCTGGGTTCAATTCCTTAGCACCACATAAGCAGAAAAAGCTGGAAGTGGTGCTTGAGCCGAAGAGCTGAGGGACAATGCACAGGCCCAGAGTTCAGGCCCCACAACCAGCAAAAAA